AACCAGGATTACAGGTCCCATTTGACCCAGGTATCCCTCTGCTGGGTATCTTTCCAAAAGAATTAAAAGAATCATACCACAGTGATATATGCTCACCCATGTTTATAGTGGCACAGTTTGCAATAGCTAAAACTTGGAAACAGCCCAAATGCCCATCAACTGATGACTAAAGAAGATGTGGCTGGCACACTATTGGGAATCCATAAGTATTTGCCAAATTATCCCAAATGGAACTATCCAGGGTTACTAAATGTGACATGGAAAGAGCTAAGTAAATATTGAGGTTCAGAGTAAGACACAAAGGTTTTCTATTGCACAATCAACCCTCTCTAGCACTTCCATACTTTCCTCTTTAGGCCTATGCTCTACCTAAGATTAAAAAAGAAAAAAAAACAACACCCATTTAAAATCCTCTCTGCAAGGGCTGGGGATTTAACTCAGCAGCACAGTGCCTGCCTGCCGCTCAGGAGGTCCTGAGTTCGATCCCCGGTACCCAAAAAAAAAAAATCCACTCTGCAAGAAGCATTGCCTTTCCTTCTACACAACACCAAGCTCTACCAGATATATATGCTTCCTCACATGGGGTTTACTTCGTAGGAGATCTGAAAATCATGAGATAATGAGGTCATGTACCAGCCAAGCTGTAACCCCTAGACAATATAGCAGAGGACCAATCAGGAAGGCCTAAGGCTCTCCAAGTTTCTAGTGGTTCAGCAGGCTGCTTGCTATTGCAAGCAACATTACTGTGTGCATAAAATAATCAAAATTAGATTATGTAGAGTAAAAATTTGGACATTAGAAAAAGCTGAGTATCAATTCAATGTGGAAATAAATATGGATATGTACAGCATTATGTTTGCCCTGTTAATCTATAATCTAGATTTACCACCTGAACCTAATCCATCTCAGTACTCTAACACAGGCATACTACAACACAAAGGGCGGCTGTTATCCCCAGGGTTTAACCTGAATCCAATCACACAATTCACTTTCACTTCTAGTTTCTAGTTTCTAGTAACAACCTAAATGATTTCACCAGGATCGATCCGTAATCTAGAAAACTGACCAGATCTCTTCAATAAGTCATGGGAGAAAAGAAAAATGAGGGAGAAAAGCTAAGTGTTCTAGATTTAAAGAAACTTCTGGGAGGCTGAAGTAGGAAAATTGCCTGGAGTTCGAGGCCAGACTGGACTACATAGAGTTCAAGGCTAGCCTGAACTACACAGCAAGACACTGTCTCTAATAAATAAATAAATTAATTTAATTTAATTTAATTTAATAGACTAAAAGAAACTTCAAAACATGTAATAACCAAATGCAAACTGGGTTTGGTGGCTCACACCTATAATTCCAGCACTTTGGGAAACTGACATAGAAGGATCCCAAGTTTGAGCCCAGCTGTGGCAATTCAGCAAGACCCTATCTCAAAATAAAAGAATTAAACAAGGAGATTGAGCCAGGAGAATCCTAAGTGGGCAATTTATCTAGACTCTGTCTCATAAGAAAATTTTACAAAAGGACTGGCTAGGGAGGTAACTCAGTGGTAGAGAGCCCCTAGGTTCAATTCCCAGCACAGAAAAAAGGAAACAAAAGGGACAGTTTGGAAAATTTTAACAAGGACTGAACAATATAGAGGAATTACTGTGGTGGACTATGATTATGCAAGAAAATGTTCTTTCTATTAAACACATTAACACATTTAGGAGTAAAAGCTCAGGAATAAAAGCAATATATATTATAGAAAAAATTCAGGTTTTAAAATCTGAGGAATAGATTTGCAGGCAATCAATGTATTATTTTATCTACTTTTCTGGTACTTTTACATTTTTTATAATAAAAAGTAAAATCAAAAGCCTTATGGGAAAATTATCCTTCCCCTTGTTTCCCGGCCACCACCTCTCCAGCCACTTATGTATTCTTCCAAAGACATTCTTTTAAAAAATATTTTATTGTGTTCTAAGTGTAGTCTAGTGGTATTAAATACATCTGGATATATCTCCATAACTATTTTTATCTTGTGAAACTAAAACTGGACCCATTAAACAATAACTCCAATTAATCCTATTTCCTTCTCCCCACCCTTTGCAACCAGCATTCTTTTAATCTGATTCTGATTACCTCGTTACTTTGTGCCCACATGTCATATAGATACCACATATACACCATATATATTCAATATTAGCACATATAGATCTGCCTCATTCTAACAACTGCATAAATGTATAAGGTATTTAACCAGTCCTCTACAGATGAACACCTGGGAATTCATACTTGATAGTCTTTTTCAATTATAAAAAAAAGTGCAATTGACTTTAAGCTTCAATTAGCAAATATGCATGCCTAACAATGTGCAATTAAAGTACTTAGATGTTAACTTGTCTACATAGGTGTTCTTATTTATTGGGTACTCAAATTAATCTTTTTTTTTTTTGAACCAGGGATTGAACTCGGGACCTTGCGCTTGCGAAGCAGGCGGCGGGAAACACTGAGCTAAATCCCTGGGCCCTCAAATTAATCTTAAACTTCCCACTAAATTACTCCAATTATGAAACACACACCATGTACAATTCTCACTGAGCTGCTGGCATGGTGGCCCACACCTGTGATCTCAGCACTTGGGAGGCTGAGGCAGGAGGAGGATCACTGTGAGTTTGAGGCCAGTCTGGGCTACAAAGCAAGACTCGGTCTCAAAAAAAAACCTCACTGAGCCATCTGTCATTGTTCCTTGCTTTTCTTGTATAATAGCTTTTAAACTACATCTGCTCTAATTTACATGTACAATAATCACTATAGTTTTTCCTTTTCTAATATTGCTCTTTTAATCAAAGCAACTGATTATGAACTAGCCAGATCAAATTCCTGCACATCCTCAACCTCCTTGCAGGCCATTTTGAAATTCTCTTTAAAAACCATCCATATCTTGGGAGGCTGAGGCAGGAGGAGCACCACGAATTCAAGGCCTGAACTACGCAGTGAAACCCTATCTTAAAAAAAAAAAATCTGTAGGTCAGGCTCAGTGCTGCACACCTTTAATCCCAGCACTCAGGAGGCTGAAACAGGAGGATCACCATGAGTTGGAGGCCAGCTTGGGCTACACAGTGAGTTCAGGGCCAGCCTGAAAGACACAGCGAGCCACTGTCTTAAAAAACAAAACAAGGACGCTGGGGATTTAGCTCAGTGGTTCTGTTGCCTGCTTCGAAAGCACAAAGTCCTGAGTTCAATCCCTGGTAAAAAAAAAAAAAAAAAAACCAAGGGGGCCAGGGATTTAGCTCAGTGGCACCATGCCTGCCTCACAAAGCACAAGGTCCTGAGTTCAATCCCCAGTACCAAAGAAAAAAAGAACAAAATAACAAACCATAGCTCAGTGGTAGACCATTTGCCTCACCTGCACAAGACCCTGAGTTTCATCCCCAGACCCACAAAAATAATGTAACACATAGCTTTAATTAAAGGCTTCTACACACTGGGCATTGCACACCTGAAATCCCAGCACTCTTGGGAGTCTGAGGCAGGAAGGTCCCAAGTTCTAGCAAAGCCTAGGTAACTCAGTAAGACTGTGTTTAAAAATAAATAAATAAATAAATAAATAAATAAAGTTGAAGATGTATGTAGCTCATTGTGAAGGGCCCCTGGGGTTCAATTCCCAGCACAGGGGAGGCTCCTACCATTTTTCCAGTCTAAAGCTAACTCTAGAATCTGTAACTGTAACGTAGTTAACTTTCCCCACAGAAATTCTAGTATCTAACTTGGTATAAGAAAAAGATAAGCTTTGGTATATATTAGCTGTTTACACTAGCAAGGTTAGCTTGAGTAAATTACCATCAGAACCTCAGCGATCTCATCAGAAAAACGCTGCAAAAACCACCTAACGTTACAACATATCTCAACTTTTGTGACACACCTGAATGTATTGGGCACAAGTGGATCAGACACTAAGTAATTCCTAGTTGAATCCGAATATTATCTTCCACTGTTTCATTCTCGCCGAATTTAAGAACAGAGCTTAAAACAAATTTTATGATTTGTTTTGTTTTTGAGACAGAGTCCATGTATTTCAGACTGGCCTTTAACTCACAACGTAGCCCAGGCTGGCCTTGAACTCGCAGCAATTCTCCCGCCTCAGTCTCCTTTGCAAGCCTCCCAAATGCTGGGATTATGGGCATGTGCCACCACGCCCAGCGGTCAAATTTTATGGTTTCTAATGGGAGTTAGAATAGTACTAAGCTCTTAGTAAGTACTCAAAAATTATTCGCGGTTTGAATCAATTCAGTATAAACCATTATGGTGGTTGAAGCACTCATTTACTAGATAAGAGAAAAACTTCCTTAACTAGGATGACAGTCCCAAGTTGCTAAAAGCTACGGAAATCTCAAACTTTCCAACGACTCTCAAAGAAGACTCAACTGACCAGACAGACAGAGGAGGGCGATGCAAAGCATTTCCTTTCCATAATTTTGTACCAAGATTATACTAAATAGTAGATGGACACACAAAGTAAGCGCTCCATTATTCGCTACTATTACTAAGACGCCTTCCACTGGAATCTACCAAAGGAAGGAAAAAAACAGTGGCTGCAGTCACGAGAGGGCGAGGACCCCTAGCCTCGCGCACCAGGGTCTCCCAACCACATGGGGTCCCTCCCCAACCACAGGCCGACCGGAGGCAACGGTCTCCCCCAAAGGTCAAGGCTTTGGACCATGTTTCCTTCCGGGGCTCGGAGGCGAGTCGGAACGCCCCCAGAGAACCTATACCCTGAAGCCAGGAGCTACGTCTGCCCGGAAACCCGCGCGGGCTCCGGGAGAGGGAGATACCGGTGGTCCCCGGGCCGCAGCCTCCAGGGCAACCACACAGCCACGGCGCGCAGCCCCACCGCTCAGCCGGGCAGACCCCCAGGGGGGCTTAGCGCACAACAGCCCCTGAGACTCACCTTCACAGCCACCCCTCACATTCCATCAGGCAGCCATGCGCCCGGCAGTGAGCTCCCTGGCGTCCCAGACGCCGCCTCCTCTGGGTCCCGGCCCACTACGGACGCGGTCCCCGCCGGGCACTGGGGCCGCCAGCACGCAGGCGCAGAGCTCCGCCGTTGCGCTCCTCCCCCGGCTTTCTCAATAATCGAGCTTTATTTAAACAAGAGAGTGAACAACAGACACAGCGGGAAAGGCTCGAAGCGAGGAACCAAGGCAAGGCCAACTAGGGCGAGAATCAGTGAGCTGCCCCAACCTCGCTAATCCTTTTTCTTTCTCTTTTCTCTTTCTAGGCCTTCCACCATAGGTAGTGGCAACTGTTTCAGCTAAATTACCAAACCTTTCCTTCCTGTGAAAGTTATCGAAGTTTTTTTTTTTATTAAATTCTTTTATTGGTACATTGTAGGTATACAACACAATTACATTTCTCATTGGGAATTGTACCTTTACATAATGCATCTTGGTTCTTATTTTTTCCCCATTCCTAGCCCTCCCTTCACGCCCTCCACCCTTCCCTATTTACAAAGACTTTATTTCCGTTTCTCATCATTTTTCCTTTCCCTTCTTTCCTTTCCCCTGCCCTCCTACTAGTATCGAAGTTTAATGTAAGGCGCAAGAGCTTTAGAACAGACAGACCCGAATCAAATCTGAGCCTAGCTACTCCAGTTTGTGACTCCGGGCATATAACATGTTTTCTTGGAATCTCAGCTTTCTGAGTTAAAATTACTACAGAAATACCTCACAGGTTATTGCAAAAATTAAATGAGACCCCCTTGTCTGCGGAGGTTAGTGCCAAGTGCTGAGGAGCTGAGTGTGTGCTCTGAGCGCCCCAACGTATTTTTTTAGGATCTTGCCATGTGATCCAGGCGGGCTATAAACTTATGATCCTCCTGTCCCAGCCTCTTCCTAGGGCAGGGATTACAAGTGTGCACCACCACACCAGCTTCTACTTTTATTATATTTTTTAGATTTTTAAAAAAGTTTTTTAATATTGGGGTTTTTTTGAGATAGTCTTTTGCTATGAGTTCATTCAGACTGTCCTTGAACTTACTACGCAGCCAGACCAGGCTGGCCTCAAACTCAGGGGAATCTGTCAGTTATTTTCATCGCTGCTGAGACAAAATACCCGACACGCAAAGTTAAAAGAGGAAAAATTTATTATTGCAGTTTGTAGAAGTTTCAGTCCATAATTGTCTGGCTCCAAGGCAGGGTGGCGTGGCAGAGGAGAAATAGTTTATGGTGGCCAAAAGGTAGCGAAGCAACAAGGGGACCTTAACAGCATCTTTCTGTCCCTTTTATTTTGTCCAGACTACCAGGATTAGGGCAGTCCCAAACCAATCTAGTAAATCATGGAATCACTCTAGAGTAAGCCACCTATGACCACATAAGGTTTTGGGGGGTACATCTAGACTCAAACCATAATGCAATCCTCCTGCCTCAGCCTCCCAAGTGCTGGGATTATAGGTGCATGTCACCATTCCTGGTTCATATTTTTTAAATGTTTTTTTTTAAAAAAGATTAAATGGGGTAGAACAGGTCAAGTGCTTATCCATAAATGTTGACATCCCATCAATATTAATGGTTATATTCTAATCCACACCTAAAGTCAAACAGGCCATACTCACTCCCTGGGGTCCTTATTTTAGTAACTAAGAGTAGTCAGATCAAATCATAGTAAGGTGGGGCCAGGGATTTAGCTCAGTGGTTTTGCCCCTTGCTGCACAAGCGCAAGGACCCGAGTTCAATCCCCAGTACCAAAAAAAAAAAAAAAATTACAGTAAGGTTGATAATAATGTAAAGGGCTACTCCTTCCATATACATAATTTAAACTATAACATTTTCCTATAATAAGACCTTCAGTGCCCAAAATCAAAATAAACTTTCAGCTATGTGTAAATCCAGATTTACCTCTAGAGGTTTAGGAAACTCTGCTAATTCTGTGTTTGTGACATCATTATTACTTGGAACACTCAGGTTCTGTGCTATACTGCTCATTCTACTCTTCTTTAGAAACATACATGAGCTGGGTGTGGTGGCACATGCCTGTAATCCCAACACTCAGGACACTGAGGCAGGAATGAGATAGGATATTAGCGTGTGGCAAAAGCTGGCTGGAAAGTAGGTGTGATCTGTTAACTACAAGATTCCAAGGCCAGGGATTTAGCTCAGTGGTTCCACCACCTTTTTTTTTTTCTTTGATACCGGGGATCGAACTCTGGACCTTGCGCTTGCGAGGCAGGCACCGGAACCACTGAGCTAAATCCCCCGCCCATCCACCACCTGTCTTGCAAGCTCAAATTCCCGAGTTCGATCCCTGGTACCAAAAAAAAGAGGGAAAAAAAAGGTTCCAGACACAGGTGCAAAACAGTTCTCAAAACCCTGCATGGGGACTTTTTGCAAGAACTCAAGCAGGTTTTCAATAGGACAGCCTAGACCTGAGGCCATCTTGAGGCATAGGATCCTGGCACTGCCTCTCAGGACCAGTATGTAGACAGTCACGTAAGTTTCCTAGAGATTTGGACAGCATAAATGAAAGGCAGCCACGAGGAGCAGGGCTGTCCTAACTTTCCACAGTAGCTGTGTTTCCCACACGTAGTGTGTACTTTTACATTTGCTCTCTCCCTCTTTTTCTCTTTACTCGGCCCAAGCTCGCCCTGCAGAGCCAGCCGTCACTCTTCACTTTTACTTTCTTGAATAAACTTGGACACTGCTTTTTTGCTCATTTCATTCATTTCTTTGTTCACGACTAGAAGAACCTGGAATCCAACTCCAGAAGGACAGGCAAGCAACCCAGAACCCAGTAAATTTAGTTGGCGAGCCACTTTTATTTTTATTTATTTATTTTTTTGGTATCAGGAATCAAACTTGGGTCCTTGCGCTTGCGCGGCAGGTGGTGAAACCACTGAGCTAAATCCCCAGCCCCAAACAATTTTTTCCTTCAAATGAAAGTTTTAATTTTCTTTTGATGAGAAAGCAATGATTTTTTTTTTTTTTTTTTTTTGGTACTGGGGATCGAACTCTGGACCTTACGCTTGCGAGGCAGGCACCGAAACCACTGAGCTAAATCCCCGGGTGGTCCCCAACTTGCTACCATCCTGCCTAAGCCTCCCAAGTAGCTAAAACTATAGGCGCAAGCCGCCAAGCCAGGCTCGCTACCAGCATTCAAAAATTCCTGTCTCTTTCAGGGACCTACAAGGAACAGCTCTACGCCTCTTAACAAGGATGCATTACGAGAAAGTTCCGGAAGGTACTATGCTGTTCTTTGCATAAACTGTTCCCGCAGCCTGGAAAACTATCTCCCTCTCTCCTGGACTTCCGCGGGTAACTGCTTATCTTTCACGTCTAGAAAGTCACTTCTTCCCGTAAGCCTTTCAAGACACCTCTAAGAAAGCAATCTTGTTCCTTGTAAGCCGAAGGCTCGCTGGGCTTTCTATGTGCCAGACACCGTATTTGCCCACTATACTTCATGTATCTCCCAGTCTAGACAGATCGAAGACCCTGTAGGTCAGGAAAAACATTTTAGTCGCCTTCTTTCCCTCAGCAGTGTCTGGCACACGGTTGCCTTCTGTAAACGTTTACTGCCCGTCCACCAGGCAGCTAGGGAATCTACCGCGTTAACCGGTGAGTTCCCAGGATCTCAGCCTGCGTGGCAAGGCGATTTAAACCCCTCGCGTGGTGATTGGCTCCAGCTGCAGAGGTGTGTCTGCGGCTGCGGCGCCGGAAAAGTGCGCAGGCGCGCGGGACCAAGGCGCGCAGGACCAAGGCGCGCAGGCGCGGTAAAGGCGCGACGTCTGGTCCCGGGCTACAGTGTCCGAGCTGCTGCGGCTGGAGAGGAGTGGCCAGGACTTCTCGGTGAGCCGCCTGGAGCCGGCTGAGGCAGCTGGTCTGGGGGAAGAGTGGGATATCATCAGACAAGAGAATATCGAAAAGTCAGGAGGCTCGGGCTTAAGGGGAGTCGAGGGTGGTCCGGCCCAGACTCGGCAGATTGGCCTCGCGCAGGGACGCTGGGAGAGGCTGGAGGGGCCGGCGGAGGAAGTGTGGCGGGCGGTGGTTGCTGGACTCTTCCTGGAAACCAGAGGCCAGCTCCCAGCCCCGCGTCCCCCGCCTCGCCGTCTGGTATGGGCAGAATCAGTAGACTGCAAGGTGACCGCCGTGATGAAATAGTTGAGAACTGTTTGAAAAGAACACTGAAGGTTCGTGGCTTCGGACAGTTCTTGTTCTTAGGAAGGTCCGTCTTTACCTTCCTGCTTCTCCGCAGATTCTACAGTACAGGGTTGAAGTAGCGGGGAAGAAAAGTACTGCGAAGTGCTGTTTCTTCTTCTTTTTTGGTCCTTAATTATTAGGTCACTACAATATCAGAAAGGAAGGACATGGTAAAAGAAACTGAAAAACATCAAAGTTGGGAAGAGGAGAAGAGTTATTTCACTATTAGTCATCTCCTAGGTTGGGAGTGGGAGAAGATGGTGACAGGGGGAGAGGAGTTTGCGGGGAGAGAGAAGTTTGGATACTGGCAGTTAATGCCAATGTAGTTTCAGACTTGTGAAAAATACTGTAGCTTTTCTGTTTGTTTCCTGTTGGTTTTCTTTTGAGACAAGGTCTTGTTATATTTCAGGCTGGCCTCGTACTCGGCGCGATCCTCTTGCCTACATCTCAGGCCCCTCTGTTGCTTCTTCTTTTTTTTTGAGGCAGGGTGTCCCTTTGTAGTTCAGACTGGCCCTGAACTCACTGTGTAGCCCAGGCTAGCCTCGGACTCGTGGCTATCCTCCTGCCTCTGCCCCCCAGTGCTGGGATTACAGGCTTGCACCCCCACGCCCGGTGGCTCTCTTGCTTCTTCTTCTTTTTTTTTTTCTTTTTTTTTTTGGTACCGGGGATCGAACTTGGGTCTTTGAGCTTGTAGGGCAGGCGGCGGAACTACTGAGCTACATCCCCAGCCCTTCTGTTGCTTCTTAATAGATATTTTAAGAATTGAGAGGAACCTACTTCATCTACCCTGCTGCCTTTAAAACTGGTTTTCAGGCTGGGCGTAGTGTTCAACATCTATAACATCAGCACTCTGGGAGGCTGAGGCAGGAAGATTGAAAGTTTGAGCCCAGCCAGTGTGACTTAGTGAGATCCTTTCTCAAAATAAAAAATTTTAAGAATGGGCTGGGGGGCCGGGGATTTAGCTCAGTGGCACCGCACCTGCCTGACAAGCGCAAGGTCCTGAGTTTGGTTCCCTGTATAGTTCCGTGGTGCCTGATCTGGTGAATAAGGTGGAGGACACCATAATGCTCTTATGAGCCTGCCTTTGCGTTGGATGGCACTTGGCAGCAGCATTCATCAAATTTTTAGTTTCATCTCTTAAAGACGCTATGAAAGAGGACTCCAGAACTACTTCAGAAAGTGGTGAGAATGATGGGATAAGTATGTTCAAAGCAAGGGAAGTATTTTGAGGGGAATTAATGGGAATGTGTCTTATACTCTTTTTTTTGGTACCAGGGATCGAATTTGGGTCCTTGCGCTTGCATAGCAGGCGGCGAAACCACTGAGCTAAATCCCCGGCCCAGTGTCTTATACTTAATACATCTTTTGGGGGGGTACTGGGGATCGAACTTGGGTCCTTGCACTTGTGCAACAGGCGGCGAAACCACTGAGCTAAATCCCCGGCCCCTTAATAGATTTTTAAATGTAAGCATTCTCTGTATGTTCAGTCACACTGTGATATGTTGACTTTTTTGTTTTTTTAAAATTTTTTGTAGTACTGAATATTGAAATCAGGGCCTTTGCCCTGAGTTACATCTCCAGCCTCCCCTCAACCTCCGCTTTTTTTTTTTTTTTTGAGACAGGTTCTCACTACACAGTTCAGTCTGGCCTTGAACTCTCTGTGATCCTCCTGCCTCAGCCTCCTGAGTGCTGGGATTACAGGATTGTGCCATGGAGTCCGGTTTATTTTTTCTTTTGAGATAAAGTCTTGCTAAATTGCCCTGTTTGAACTCAGGATCCTCCTGCCTTAGCCTATAAGAGTGCTGGTATTTCAGCCATGACCCACCGTGCCCAGTTTATGTTGACATTTATAATGTATGATGTTGCTTGCATACAAGAGTGCTAGGTTTTTTATCCTAGCACCATATTTAGAAGAGAAGATGATAGGAACTGGTCTTTTGTTGTTGTGGCAGTGGGTAGACGTGTGTGAAGCAGATGGTACAGTAACTTCAACAATTGGAGGAAATGGAATTATGGAGCCAGGAAAACAGCCTCCCTTTTTTTGGAGGAGGGTCATGCTAGGGATCAAACCTAGGGCCTTGCACATACAAGGCAAATGTTCACCACTGAGCTATACTCGCAGCCCTGTGCCTTTTTAAATATTGTGGAGGGGGCCGGGGATTTAGCTCAGTGGTTCCGGCACCTGCCTCACAACCGCAAGGTCCCAAGTTCGATCCCTGGTACCCAAAAAAATAAAAAGCGAATAAATATTGTGAAGGAGGGCTCCATTTGCACTTTTTTTTTTTTTTTGGGGGGGGTACCGGGGATCGAACTCAGGACCTTGCTCTTGTGAGGCAGGTGTTGGAACCACTGAGCTAAATCCCTGGCCCAATTTGCACTTATTTTTAAACTCAATGATGTTTTGGTTTCATTTTAGGTTGTATTGCTATTAAAGTATTTAAACCACTGATCCCTGGATTTTTCTCATCTTGATTTTTTTCTTTAATCTTGATTTTTGTGAGTTCTGAAACATTGAAAGTTGTTTTAAATTTATTTTGATAGTTTTGACAATTGAAATTACTTCAGATGGTCTTCTAATGCTTATGACATAAAATCCAAACTTTTGGGTATAGTATACAAAGTTTTTCAGCCTACATTCTGTCTGCCTTTTTTTTTTTTTTTTAGTACCGGATATCGAACTTGGGACCTTGGGCTTGTGAGGGGGCGGAACCACTGAGCTAAATCCCCGGCCCTTGTCTGCCTTTTTAAGCCATTCTGGCTTTTACACACATATTCCTGCCAGACCCCTGGGGCCATGCACTGTGGCATTTCTCTGAAAGTCCAAAATCATGAATTTTTTTAGAGTTGATTATAGTTGAATTTTGACTTACACAAATCAAAATTAGGGGGGTTTTGGTTTTGTTTTTTTGTGGTGGATTGCAGCTAAGCATAAGCTCTACCAGGAGCTTTACCACCAGACCCTGAGCTGTTCCCCTAGCCCCAAGATGTTTAATAATTAATATGAAAATTATAACTGGGGCCACTCTGGAAGATGAGATAGGAGAATTCCAAGTTCCAGGCCAGCTAGAACAATCATAGCAAGAGCTCATCCCAGGAAAAAAAAAATTATAATAGCATTATTGAACACCATGTTCTGGGATTTTTTTTTTTTTTTTTGGTGTAGGGGATTGAATCCAGGATCCCGGGCTTCTTCCTACATGCTAAGGACATGCTCTATCACTGAGCTACACCCTCAGTGCTAAGCATTTTTCTAAATGCTTTGCACAAATTAACTCAGTCCATACATTTGAAGTAAGCATTATTTGATGAGGAAACTGACCCACAGAGAAGTTAAATAATTAGTGGTCAGTATTTAAAACCATTTTGTTTCCAAATAATGGGCATTTAACCATTATATTGCCTTTTGTATGAATAAGAATGCTATTCTGCTACTGTTCTGGGGAGGATACTCTTTTTCCAGAGACCCGAGTGCTTATGTTCTCTGTATGTGCTTTCAAACTCCTGGTGTCAGAACATTTGAGAAGCTAACCAGAAAACATCTAAGTAGACTAGGAGTGAGAGCCAAAATACTAGGATGGTTGGGAACAGTGTTTCATGAGGGCTGAAGCCTTGTCATTCATCCCAGCCCTACACTTGGCATCTCCCAGGCACACAGCTGTACTTACATCTGCCTGATTGTTTGTCTTCCCCAGGTAGATTACCAACTTCTGGCTCTTGGGCCTCTTCTGTATATATGGGGTTGATACAGTTGATTGCAATCACACCTACCTTTGGCTCTTCAGGATTACTCTTGGTTCACTTAGGTTAGAATTGTGACGTTTTAAGGTTGACAAGGACTTGACTAGGTGTTGGACATCAAGCAGTTAAATTATGATAGACATTTGGGGGGTTATTTAGCTCAGTAGTGCCGCTGCCTGCTTCGCAAGTGCAAGGTCATGAGTTCAATCTCCGGTACAAAAAAAAAAAAATTACAGTAGACACTTCTGTACACGAAATGTAATTTTGGTCCATTTTAGTTTTGGTTCCTGATTTTAGTGGTTCTCTCCCACTCAGTATGATTTCTGTCTTGAATCATGTGCTTCATTGTACTTTGAAACCACAGTGTTTGTAAGGAGGGTTAAAGTTGTTCACTTAGAACAAGGTAGAAAGGCAGCTTACAAGAGGAAGTAAAAGGAGGAACCTACCCTTAACATAAATGAGACTCAATCTAAATGTTTTCAGGAAGAATTAAACTTTCTAATTAGAGCATAGTCTGTTTTTATTGGCCTAAGCTGAAAGTAGGATATTTTGGAGTACTCAAAAACCCATAGTTTATATGTGCCCATAGTAGTTGAGTAAGTATGTGAATATTTTTAACACATTATAAATGGAATCTAGGAGCAAAAAAAATTCCCGCTGAGTACAGCGGCACACAGCTATAATCCCAGCTACTCAGGAGGCTGAGGCAGGAGAATCAAAAGTTCAAAGCCAGCCTGGACAACTTAGTGAGACCCTGTCTCAAAGAAGAAAAATACAAAAGGCAAAATTGAACTATTTTGGCTCTGATTCTGAGTTCACTTATAGGCTTTCTGATTAGGTTCTCAAACACTAATAACAGCAGTCAGTACCATATACGAAGAACATGGTAAATACCTTGAGTATAAATGCTC